AATACGGCGATTGGCCGCGTGGTGGGCTGCGAGAGGATCGCACCCTATCGCCACGACCTCCTGGGATCCCTGGTGTGCAACCTGAACCTCCTCGTCAGAGTCTCCGGTACCCTCAACCAGGCTGTGTCCGTGCACATATATTGTCGTGCTCCGCGTGTCGTGTGCCGCGCGTGTCGTGTCGTGTCGTGTCGTGTCGTTGGTCGTGTCGTGTGTCGTACCTGGAGGTGAGCCGCACGGAGAAAGTGAAGCCCGAACTCGTAGTTCGTTCGCGCGTTCTCACTGCCCCCCCCCCACAGGCGACGCCTCAGAACCCAAACCGTACGCGCTGTATATGACATCGTCGCAGCCCTTCTTGCGGGACGAGTTCGAAGCGTATCAGCTGCGCGTGGCGATGAACCCCGAGGAGGCCCTCACAGCACCCAGCGAACTTCAGCAGAAGCTGCGCGTCAAGCGGATCATGCACGAACGCCTCCTCAAGTAACACACCCAGCTCACGCTCCTCACTCTCAAATGTACACAGTTCCCACCGGCGAATTGCAGTCTTTTCTATCTCACTGTGAGGCATTCGCAACCACACAACGCACCCGCCCCCAACCAATCACAACGCAAGGCTTCTGTATTAATTGTATTGTACAGCGCCACGGACGGTGTCGCTCCTTGCAGAAGTGCAGAAGAGATGAAGGCGACGATCGTGCTTGTCGTTGTGTTGGTGGCCCTTTTGGGTGCGGTCCACGCCGCGCAAGAGTCGGGCGGTGATGCTGCGATCCGGGAGCAGTTCAACGCCTTTGTCCAGCGCTATGGGAAGAGCTACGCCTCTGCCGAGGAGGCCGAGCAGCGCTTCGCCATCTTCACCCAAAACCTTGCCGAGACCGCTGCCCTCAACATCAAGTATGAGGTATGCGTTTATACCGCAAAAATCTCAATCTAATCTTCAATCAAGGAGAGAGGGCATCTCATCGATACAATTTAATGTAATGTCATGTAATGTAGGGCAAGACGCAGTTCGGCATCACCAAGTTTGCGGACATGAGCCAGGAGGAGTTCCAGTCGCGCGTGCTCATGAGCAACCCGCCGCCCCCGCCCACCGAGAAGCCCTACCGCGGACCCAAGTTCGAGGGTTTCACGGTACAATCCTTCATCTTCATCTTCTCCCAAACGAGATTGTTCCATTCTGATCTGCTCGTTGCCCCCATAGGCTCCCTCTACCTTCGATTGGCGCAACAAGCCCGGCGTCGTGACCCCCGTCTACGACCAGGGACAATGCGGTTCTTGCTGGTACGTCCGTCGCCTTCATCAATCATTCGTGGCGCTGTGTTGATGTTGAAGCGAACTCCTGTGTTGAATCATTTCGCTGACTCAACTCTCTCGACGTGCAGGGCGTTCTCGGCGACCGAGAACATTGAGTCGCAGTGGGCGCTGGCCGGCCACAAGCTGACCGGACTCTCGATGCAGCAGATCGTCGACTGCAGCTGGTGGGACGACGGCTGCGGCGGCGGCTTCCCCTCCTACGCCTACGATGTGCGTTTCACACACAGACACACACACACACACACACACACACACACACACACACGAGAGGCACAACTAACCCTGTTGCGGGTGGGTACGTACAGTACGTCATCGATGCGCCTGGCCTCGATGCGCTGGCCAACTACCCCTACACGGCCGTCGGTGGCTCGTGCGCCTTCAAGGAGAGCCAGGTGGTGGCCAAGATCTCGAGCTGGACCTACACCACCACCGACAGCAACGAGCACCAGATGGCCAACTACCTGGCCCAGCACGGCCCCATCTCCGTCTGCGTCGACGCCGAGTCCTGGCCGTCCTACACCGGTACGAACCAACTTCATTCGCGCGCGTGTGTCGTGTGTGTCATGTGTCGTGTGTGTTCCCGGCTCACAGTCTTTTTGTTTTGTGCTACAGGCGGTGTGTACAGGGCGTCGGCGTGCGGCACCTCGATTGACCACTGCGTGCTTGCGGTCGGCTACAACTTGACGGCCAACCCGCCCTACTGGATCATCCGCAACTCGTGGGGCACCAGCTGGGGCCTTGAGGGCTACATGCACCTCGAGTTTGGCACCGACGCCTGCGCCGTGGCCGAGATGACCACGTCCGCCATCATCTAAGCGACACCTGACCAATATGCCTCCCATGCTCCTCTCGTTACGCAGTGACTGAGAACCTGAGGCGGAATTTTTCGAGGCGGGAGAAAAAAAGCTCAAATCATTCGAGTGGTCGCGCATAGTTACGCCGTCCTCAAATTTTCCGCTTATTTTCTGCGGGCTCAAGAATGCGAGGCACGAGAGGCACAAAAGGCGGGAACGGAAGACACTTTCACTCTGTCGTTTTGTTTTTCCTGCTGCATCCGATGGAGTTGTCCACCCTTCCCGAGAAGCTCGGGGCAAAAACGCCGCATAAAACCTCCCCGGGTGGCCGCCCCAAGCCTAGCGGGTACTCACCTAGCTTCTCCCCAAGCCACTTCAACAATAAACAACGCCCCATCGACCAAGCTGCAACCCCCTTCGACAACATTCCTCGTTCCCTGTTACCGCTGTGCCACTGGCTCGTGGTGCCCTCGACAACGATTCCAGAATCAATTGTAACCACCTATCCCCCTTGCAGTTGGATGTCGCTCTAATTGCTCTTTTTACCAAGCAGCTGCAAGATGTGAATGCTGATCTTGCAACCTACTTGCGAGAAAACGCGAAAACTGACCGTGTCAAGTCCCGATACTATTTGGAGCATCAGCCCAGGCAAGCGAGCAAGGTACCGCTTCCAGATTGTTTGTTCCTTTGTAAATTGATGTTAATCGGTGAGTGAGCCTCAGGCTGTCGAGGATGTGGAGGTAGCCGGCTCCGACTCGGAGACCGAGCCTGAGTCGGAGCCTGAGGCGGCAAAGCCATGGCCGATTGTCACCCTCGATAAGACTTGGGAAGATCACTATCGTCGAATGTTGATCTTGATCTACCCTTTGGTGCGTCTTCCCGTTAGTGCTGGCATTGCGTGACGGAAGCGGCCTCATTTGTACCGGTACTTCAACAGGCCGCCGAACTTGGAGCTGAGGGAATGCTGGCTACTGAATCCACATGGCGCAGCTACGTGTACGCCCCGAGCGAATTGCTGCTACTTAACAACCCTCACCTGACGGTCGAAAGGTAACCACCAAACATGTTCATCACGTGCGTCTCCTCTTGACTCACAACCTGCTTCAGCAATTCTGAAGT